CCCGTTCTTTTCACTGGGATCTCACTCATGGAGATCTTTCATTTAGTTTTTTTTTTCCCCCAGAGTGTCTTGGCTTTCCATGCCTGAAATACTCTCATGGGCATTTCAGCCGGATCCTCATGCCTTAAGGGCTGATTATGAGGCCAGAGTGCTGTTAGGACATTTGCCATTCTATGGGTCTGCTGTGTATCTCACTTCCCATGTTGGACCATTCTCTCCCTTTTTGATTCTATCAGCTAGTATTTGCAGACACTATTCTTGTTTATGTGATCCCTTTGGTTCTTAGTCCTATCATTATGATCAATTGTGAACAGAAATTGATCACTGGGACTAGTGAGATGGCATTGGTACATGCCACCTCGATGGGATTGAATTCGAATCCCCTGGTATGTTTCTAACTCCACCGTTTGAGGCAAGTCAGCTTGAGCATGTCCCGAATTGCACATCTCTTCCCTCTCTTATTCCCACTCTTATATTTAACAGCGATCACTTTTCAGTTAAGTTTCAGCACTTAAGAAGAATTGTGTATTGATTACAGTATTCAACCAAAAGTATTAAGTAGAACAAACGAAAAAAATACTAAGAGGGATAACATATTAAGCTGCTCATCAACAGTCAGGGTGAGGGCTGATCAAGTCACCGTTTCTCATAGTGTTCATTCACTTTAACAGGTTTCCTTTTTGGTGCTCAGTTGTCACCTATCAAGAGGGTCCCTTATTTTTATAGCTGCACCTAATTTTAGCTTTGGGGGAAAAGTTTAGGGCTATAATTTTTAAACTTTAATTTTATTTAGGGCAAAGGTAACTTCTTGTTTTTAATGGTATTGGCTTAGGTCACTCCATCTTGGTTTGATTTTTAAGGTTCTTCAATGTAGACTTCTATGATAACATTTTTTCTATTCCTTTAATTGTATTGTCCTACTCCTAGCCTCCAAAGTTTCTGTTGAGAAATCCCCTGATAATGGCATTGAGAATAACTTTTACATGATGAGTTACTTTTTATTTGCTACTTTCAATATTTTTACTTTGGCTTTTGATGGTTGGATATGTCTTATTATGTACTTCTTGGGATTTATCCTACTTAGAGGTCATTTAGATTCGTGGATTTATCCACCTATGTTTTCCCTCAAATTTGGAAAGGTGTTGACCATTTATTCTCTGTCCCTTTGTCTCTTCACTTTCTGTGACTTCCCTGATTTGTATCAGTTAGCCTGATGGTGTCCCATAAGTCTCTTAGTCTCTGTCCTCCTTTGTTAATTCCTTCTTTTCTTCTTAGACTCCGTAATTTCAAAGGACCTATCTTCTAGTTTATTGTTTTTTCTTCTTTCTGTTTACTGTCAAACTGCTCTAGAGACTTTATCAATTCTGTGATTATATTTTTAATTCCAGAATTTTTTTGGTTTATTTTTATAATTTTTAATTGTTAATATTATTTTTGTTTATGTATTCCTTTCTGATTTCCTTGAATTCTTAGAGTTTTCATTTTTCTCTTAAGCATATTTAAGACAGTTGTTATTGTCTTTGTCTAGCACTTCTGATGCTTATGTTTTTTCAAGGACAGTTTCTGACACTATTTTCTTCCTTTGTGGGCCATATTTTCCTCTTTATTTGTATGCTTTGTGATTTTTTTGTTAAAACTTGGGCATATAGCAATCTCTTCCACTTTTTATAGATTGGCTCTGTACCAAGAAAGACCTTCATAGTTCGTAGGACATGTTTTCAACTTTGGGATTAGCATCATATGAGGTCATAAAGTCTTCTTAGGCCTTTCCTTGAATACATGACTGCTTTTAAATGTCTTTGTTTCCTGGAACCTCACCCCTGCCTCTTATGGGAGGCCTTAGATGTTCTACTGTATCCCTTTAACCTGAATGTCTTACCCCAGGTATGCAGCTTTCATGAACAGTGCCCACCATTTCCTGTGGCTTTTCCTAACTTCAGATCCAAGCTGTACCATCTCTAAGTTAGATGAAAATAGAACTCTATCCTAGACTATTCCTAGACATGTTAGAATGTTGCAAGTAAAGTCTATTCTTGTCTCTTTTAGGGAGGTAATTGACAGCTAGGACTCTCCTGTTGAGGGGGGGGAAGGGGTGTGTAGAAAGCAGGAAAGTAAAAATGCCACGACATTTCCTACTGTTTTGAATGTGCTCTTTTATTGGATATTTTCTTTGTTTCTGTAGACCTTTCACTATTTTCTAGACCTTGTATACAGTTATTTTACTCAATCTATAATTGTTTTTTAAAATGTTTCTTTGTAGGAGAAGGAGGACCTAGAGCTTCCTATTCTGCCATAGCAAATATCTACATAAATTATTTGGAATTCTTCTATAATGAAGAATTATGTATTTTATTGCTCAAATTGTTCCAGATTTGCCTATTGGAAGCTCTTTCAGGTTGTCTTCTGTGTCCCCTTGGCATGTCCCCATAATATTGTTTTTAGAGCATTACAAGAAATACATTTTGTGGATTCCTTGATTCATCCCTAGAATCACCCATTTCTCCAACCAGCCATGGTTCCTTTTAGAATATCAAATGTCTGCATAGTAATGAAAGAGTGTAGTAGGCTGGGAACCTACTTGGGGGAGTATGCGTATGTGTATAGTGGGTGGTTAACAGGAGCAAAAGAAAAAGAGGAAGCTGGAAGATTCACAATCCAATTCTCTCCGACATGATAGTTTACTATACATTTAGAGGCAACTTAGTAGCACACAGTAAGAGTTCAGATCCCACTTTTTTTTTTTTTTTGACAGGCAGAGTGGACAGTGAGAGAGAGAGAGACAGAGAGAAAGGTCTTCCTTTGCCGTTGGTTCACCCTCAATGGCCGCTCTGGTGGTGTGCTGCAGCCAGTGCACTGCACTGATCTGAAGCCAGGAGCCAGGTGCTTCTCCTGGTCTCCCATGCGGATGCAGGGCCCAAGCACTTGGGCCATCCTCCACTGCCCTCCCGGGCCACAGCAGAGAGCTGGACAGAAAGAGGAGCGACCGGGACAGAATCCGGCACCCCGACCAGGACTAGAACCCGGTGTGCCAGCACTGCAGGTGGAGGATTAGCCTACTGAGCCATGGCGCTGGCCATACTGCCCACCTCTTAAGTAGAATTGGTTCATGTATGTACCAAACAGTCTTGTTTCAAGTTTATCTGTGTACAACTGAAGAAGCTTAAATCCTAAATAGTTTAGGGCAAAAATCCTCATTTTCAATATTGTCAGCATTGAGAGCACGGACCACGTCTTTTACTGACTGTAA